GGCATTTTTTTTTAAATTGCGTTTTGACTCAGATTTTTTATTTTTCTTTCAAAAATACTCAAGAACCCAATTTTTAACCTCTTTTTTCCAAAATTATTTTCAATTTAATTCTGCATTAATTTTATTCCATTATTTTCATTAAATTAAAATAAATTAAATTAAATAAATAAAAAAAAAGGTTTTGGGGGGTGTTACAATAATAGTTTGGTTTAGTTCTTTTTTGCTGAAGAACATTTATTTCTTCCTACAATGAATCCCAAGACTGTTGAGTGCATTTGAGAATAGACTTGATGTTTTATTTTTACAAATTGTTTATCTACTTCTAGCTACATAGTGTATTTTAAAATTTATTAGTCCATGCACTTTTAAAATTTTTCCAAAAAAGCACATAAACTCAACATAAGTTTTGTTTTTATTTTAAAAAAATTTAAAAAATACCCTCCGGTTTACTTATATATATATAAATATTGATTCTTAAAATATTTAATTTCTCAATTAATTAACTATGATAATTTTTTATGTTATTACTTATTTTACGAATACTACTACTCGAGTTACTCTAATTTTTCTGAAAATGTATACAATTACTAAAAACCTTGTATATTTTTAAAAAATAAATATATATAATAACATAGAAAATATTAGTATTCTTTTAAAATTAAAAGTTAAATAAGTACATTAAATACATGAAGATTTTAATAATGGTTATTCAATTAACCTAATAATTATAGAAAATTAGCATATTAATTCGTTTTTCATTATCTAAATTTATGAATTGTTATATACAAATGTTGATTAAGTTATTTTCTCAAACAAACATTATTTTGTACACATGATTAATAAAATATAGGCATCTCAATATAATATACATAAAAACAATATGCATATAAATTAATCACATATATGATATATCCGACATAACCTAATGGGACAAAACAAAATTATTAGGACCATGAGAATTATAAAATTATTTTTAACTTGGTTGGAAATTAAAATTAATTGACCAAATTAACAGATTACTTGAATTCTCATTACAATGATGAGAACTAAATTACAAGAGTTTTTTTTTTTCCTTTAAAAAAACTTAATTATTAGATACATAATACAAACCAGTAGTCAGCAATGAAATTAAGCAAAGGATCTTAAACCCCACAATAGGCTTTTATTGGACACTGAGCTTTGGAACCCTCGGGGGTGCGGTAGAATCTAAGTAAGCCAAGATGGTCAAATGGTTTATACAATAATGGATGATCTTGATCCACGAGCTCTTCAGGCACTTGTAGGACACCATTGTTGAATGAAAACAAGCCAAGGGAGTATCTATCTATTTTCCCACTCATTAGAACTCGGTGCTTTGGAGACCATATCCTGTCATTGCTCCATGCCTACCTCAACAAATTTCTTGATCAGAAAATGCTTAAACATATATGTGTGTGTGTGTGTGTGTGCGTGCGGGTATATATATATAGAGAGAGAGAGAGAGAGACCATTTATAATTAAGTCCTTTTGCCAAAAAGGTTGCAGTTAGAACTAAAGAAAAAAATTCCATCTTAAAGAAATCAAACTGTTTACAAATGTATCAATAAGTTGAACGCTTAACTAAGATGGGTTTGAATGATTGTTATTTTTCATTATCTTATTTTCTTTTATTGAGGTTAATAGTGGATAGAACAGAAGAAAAGAGATCTCACCATTAAAGCATCCCCTGCAATGACCATAAAATACGAAGGTAATGAAAGATGAACATTAATTCGATCTCCATCTCTAGTTTCTATCTCCAAAGCATCCACCTCACTTTGGTGAAGAATGGTGGTGAAGCTCTTGTCAGTGTGCGTAACGAAACCAAGAGTGGGTTTGTCATCTTTGGGTGCTCGATTTTTTAGCAGTCGAAGAAGGTAAGTAGTGGACTGAATGTAATCATTGTAGTACTTCTCAACACCATAGCTTTCAAAATATCATGCGGGTAATCATTTGGTCTATTTCTTCTGCAAATTTTGCATACTCATGGACACGTTCACTGTCCAAAACCATCTTTGTAAATTTTTTTTTTTTTCTCAGAGATAGAAAAATTTAAAAATCATTGTTTATAATTATTGAATAATTGATTGAGAGGACGATACTAAAATGTTAATATGATAGAAAAATACTAATTAATACACTTTCACGTATTAATTTACCAAACTGCAAACGTAGGTCAAACACAACAAATTAAATTTGTATGACATCAACTTTTAACATAAATGGGATAACTAGATTAGAAAACTAGATATTTAGATATTGAAAAGTAAAAATACCATATAAATAAGAACTATAGATTACAATATATAAATCATATATTAAAAACACGTGATTTACTAGTAAAGTCATCGAATCAATATTATTTAGTTTGTAGAATATCAAGAACAATACAAATGTACTTATCAACTAAAATCTTTTAATTTAATATAAAAAAAAATCTCTTATTACGTATTATTAATACTTAAAAAGATTAAATTACGATTTTCTCATGAAGACAGACAAAATGCATAATTTATTATTCGAATCTATATTCTTATAAAAAAATGATAATAATGTACATTATTGAGTCAAACAACGGTTGATAAATTGTAAGCATATAAGTGATCATAATACGCGCAAAAAAGAAAAGAAAAGCTTAGTTGATCGGGTATGCATATATACCTGAAATGGTCATTGCCAGCAGGCCAAATCGTTTTAGTGAAAAATTGAATTCCTTGGAGAGTTGTTGCATTGTCAATACCCAAACTCTCATGCAGAGGGATTTCTGGAATTTGACCAACATAACCATTTAAGGGTTTCTCATACCTATTTTTCATTTTGGTTTCAGTGGGTAAATCAAACAATTCTTTTAAGGCACTCAACACTTGATTATGAAGCTGTATTGGAACTGGATTGTACTCCAATATAAAACAACCATACTCTTCGAGCGCTTCCCTCACGTTTTCACTAGTCGATAACCAATAGTCTGTGTCGGATTTCAACTTATCTTTGTAGAACGGCAGAACAGGAATTGTATGCGCCATCTTTCTAATTCTGTATATTGTGTCAATTAGAACTGCTCGGATTTATATCGTGTAATTATTTGAATAAAAAAATATAAATAAATTAGCAGATTATTAATTCCTTTTTTTTATTTAAAAAATATATATGAAAACAAGCACGCACAAATTACATTTATGATAACTCATATGTGTTCTAAAATATTTAATAATTATATATATAATGAATTTTATCTGATAACTGTGCCAACTATTCAATTAAGGAATGATTTAATACTATAATGATCTTAATTACAAATATAATACTATAAGGATTTTGAATTAATAGTAAGATTTCGGCAAAAGGAGAAGCAACAATTCAACAACTGATCAAATTTTTTTTAAAAAAAATGAAAAAAAGAGTTATAGTTCACAGATTCAGTTAAAGATCATGAACTTGAAAATGGAAAAAGATCACGGAGATTTTAAAGGATGGAACTTACTTGCAATTCAGTGATGAGAAGATCGTCAGCCAAATCAGATATATAGATACATGTATGTATGTATATATACATATATATATATATATATATATATGCGTACCCACTAGCGCAATAAGAGATGATGAGCAATCATATATCTACATATATATATATATATATATATATATATATAGATGATGGATCTGGTTTGATGGACAAGATATACGACACATGAGTCAGTATTTTAGAAGTCAGTATTTTAGACATTAAAGATTTAGTGAGTCATAGGTGTTCGAAAAAAACACAGCGGTCCAGATCGTTTATTGAACGTTGACGATCAAATAATTTCTTTAAATGAAGAAAATTAAATAGAATATCACTACATATCTACTACATATAGATACAAATATATACATACCTAATTCATATAGAACATAAGCAACGTTTCAAAGTTTCGTTGTTCTTTGAATTTTCTAAAGAAAAGAAAAGATACATGTTTGTTTTATTTGAATAATTACCAATTAAAAATATACGTATATGTTAGATTTTTGCCCTAAAAAATATACATCTTTATTTTATTTGAATAATTGACAAATTAAAAAATTAGAAAAGAGTTACTATCGCATTTTATTTTATTGTATTTTTAGTTTCATAGATGAAAATAATGAACTAATAATTAAATTTTTTTAATAAAAATATTTATAAATAAAAAAGGAGGTTCTTGCATATAAATTTATCTAAAGATCTTTTCAGAGCTTACATAATCATGGAATCCCTTATTTTTTGAGCTTTAAATTGTTTGTGATCTCTCGTTTCATCTTCTATAATCAAGATTGGGGTTGCATGGGTCGTATTATTAGAGCACAAAAGGAACAAGAATGAAAGATAATCAGAAGAGAGAAAGAAGATAACGAAGATAACGAAGAAGAGAGAAAGGGCTATCAGATTTTATTGGGTATTTTAAATAAAAGTGGTGTTTCGCTTCATATTTAATATGTATCTGTTCAACTAATTGACAACGTTGTGCTAACGTCCGTACCCACCGACATTGGGGTTCAAACTGTTACAAGATCAGCTTCAAGTATATAGATATAAACAGCTTCAATGAGTTTTAACAAAAAGAATAATCTATGGCTCCTTTTCTAAAGTGCACGGAAAACTTTGGTAAAAAAAATAGAAGTATGTAGACAATATTGAACATTTTTTAATACTAAATGAAAATTTTGATATTTTAGTCTTGGAATACATAATAGAAAATATGGACAAAACTGGAATTCTGAAAAGTTATGGATAAGGGCACAGAAAATAGAGAAATATAAAATATATGGTCATAAAATAATTCTATAAACATAAGGGTATAACTGGAATATATCAATTGAAAAATAGTTATATAATTTCTCATTAGATCCCTAAAAATCCAGAAATTACAGATAGGCCCCAAAATATAGAAAAAGGTTACAAGAACACTATCATTGTGCTTGCCTGTTTCTCTATTTGAAGGGTCGTCCAAACCCGTTCAATTCAATTTTCTTGTGAATCTTCGTAAAATTCTCTGGGCTTATCTAAAAAGAAATTTATTTTTTAAAAAATAACTAAATAATTATTCTAGTGCGTAATTAAATAAAAATAAGTAAA